GTGCTGGAGACGTCCAAGGCCATGGTCACCCTGCAAAGCCAGCTCGTCCAACAGCTCAGGGAGAGAAATATCTCAGAACTGCAGGATGTGGCTCAGAGTATACACAGCCACTGCTTGGTAGGTAGATCTTGTCTCGAGAATCGTCCATTGTCTCTTTTTATGCCTTTTAAACTCAAGGGGGGTTTTTAATTTTTGCTAATCTTGCACAAAGAGCCTAGAAGAAGCAGAACAGCAGCTTCAGTCGGAGAGGACGGAGCTGGACAGGCTGGGGGTGCCGTCACACAAGATCCAGACCGTCTTTGAGGGAGAGGAGGGCAGAGAGGAAGATGAGGTGTTCGAGCTCCAGCCCGACTGCAGCATGACGTCCATCCTCCAGGACGCGCTTCACAAGTGTGAGCAGGTCATTGCTTTGACGTTTGAAAGGTGAGCCATTGAGCTAAAACTTTTGAATGTCTTTCAATCCCCCCTCCCCCACAAACTGCAACACATAAACATACATTAAACACACCCAGTCTGTACGCCTCATTAAGCTCTTCTTCTCTAAACTTTACAGTGGACTTGGTTTTGTAAAGCAAATACCGTTCCCCTAGTAACAATCAAAATCTATCTGGTTCTTCCTATGAGGACTGAAAACATTCATCTTTTAGAGTAGCTTACTCAGGAAGTCTTGGTTTTAATTATTCATTTGTTTTAATTTAGCATTCAACTGTCTGTGTATTTTTTTCCCCCTTAATTTTATGTAAAAAAAAAACCAAAAAAAAACTTACAGGTCTCCTTGTGTTTGGATGTTTTTTATAGAAACAATGTTTGATAAAACGGTTTAGGGGTCAAATGAGGCTTTAGACATTCCCGGTGTTGAAACTGTTCGTCTGTTCAGGTTTCAAGAGATTTCCACCAGCAATCAAGTCAAGGAAGAATTAAAAGAACAAATCGAGCTCAAAAGGCTTTACTCAAACTGTGACCAGGTCGGATTTTATTCCCTGTTCATTTCTACGTTAAATACACAGTGGAAATCCTGCTGACGGTTAACGGAGCGTAAAGAGAGTCTGTACTTGGCAGGACCTGGAGTTCGCCTCCCAGCTGGTGAAGCAGAGTCGCGTCTCTGACGACGTTCTCCTGGAGGTCCTGCGTCTCCTCCTCCCGAGTCTGCCCGAGAGTGAGCTTCTCTCGCTCGGTGACGCGCTCTGCCGCAAACGACGTCCCGTTTCTGCTTTTGCAGAGCAAGAGCGTTCCAGGTAAGGAGAGTCTGTGGTTTATTATCTGGCAAAGACGACCAAAGCCTCATTTTTGTCACGTTCTTTTTAGGATTTACTGTATTGGATCACATGATGATAAAAGTTTTGATTTTTATTGAGTCGTTAAAAAAAACTTTAGATTTTTTCTGGCAATCTGATATGATTAGACAACTCCAGAGAAATTCTTTGTTTTTCGCCTCTTTTCTCCCTTTGCTCACCAAATCTATGTCTAAGTCTGTGTTGCATGTCAAAAACAAAAACCATTCTGTCAATTTAAACAGAAACTCCATACATTTTAACTTTCTTTCACATCAGTCAGTGCCTTTTGAAAGTAGTCTTGCTTATCAGAACCCGTCTCAGATGGCATCTAACCAGTTAAATCTATCCGCTTGATTGTCCATTTTTGAGTTTTGTTTTTTTTTTATAAACTTTTCAGGGTTGACGAGGGTGTTAAACCGGGTCAGTGTACACGTTAACACACTGAACCTCCTGGAATGAATTTAAAATTATCAACTTATTTTATTCTTTGATGGAAAGTGGGTAGAAGTGTTTTCTTTTCCTTTCTCTACAGCGAAGAAATTCATGGCTCTACACCTGTATCTAGAGACCTATGTTGATCATTTCTTGAGGAATATTTGCCAAGAATGGATTGAAATTAAAAACTCTTCAGTTGGAAGACTGAAAAAAGAAAATTAAGTCCAAAATATGTGGACAATAATTTTGAAAAATAACAGTGATAGTGTTAGCAACCTGTGTTTCTGCAAACACAGGTTGTACCAGTATTACTTTAAGTTGGCAAAAGCAATCTAGGTCAGTCAGAGATCTTCTGTTTAACCCCGAAAATAATCAGTTTTGCTTCAGTAGCCTTTGGAGTATTTCTCTAATTTCATAAAAAGTCATTTTAACATCTTCTAAAACAAAAACAAATGGTTATCATTCGTAAACTGAGTCCTATCTGGACGCCTCGTCAAACTAACATGATATAAAAATAATAAAATATATTGTCATGCTTAAACTGCATAAGAAATCTGTGGAGGAGTTAGCCAGCTGTTTCTTTCAGCCCTTTTGGCGACCAACAAATTAGCGTAAGCTAGCACACATCTTTGGACGAATCAGCTGCTGCGTGTTGCTTCTGTTCCTAACAGATTCGTTAAGATAGTTTTCTAATCAAAGCTTGTTGAGACACAACAATCTCCAAGTGAGATCTTTAATTTATATAACATCGCCGCAGTCTGCTTCCCCTGAACTAAGATGAAAAGATTAACGATTTTACTTTTCATTTCGCTTCCCTCTCTTATCCTAATAGCCTGGAAGGCTGTTTTCTGTCTCCTGCTGAGTTTGGCTCGCCTTCCTGATGAGGAATGCCTCCAGCAGGAGGTTGCTTGGTAATCCAACAGAAAATATTGTGTCTGGAAAGCCACGCAATGTGTTGTTTTTCCCCTTTCAAGGTCTTTCTTCTTTTCAAAGTTTTACATAAAAATGGTCTTTTCTAGCCGTTTTATACTCCTGCTAAAGAGAGATGACGTGAACAGTAGGGTTTGGAACCAAGTGCGAAAGATGTACAAGAAATCAAAAAGAGATTCAGAGAGTGTCACATTATGACAAGTGTTGATCCCCCTGCTGTCTCAGAAACTGAAATTAAGTTGTATTTAAATTTGCTTTGCTAAACTTGCATAAATGCTTTTAAAAACTGACCCCAACCCGGGGATAAACTGTGCTAACTTAGCATTTGTTTACATCACTCTTCCTCTTATACATGTAATTTGCTTAGCATCACCTTAAAAGTTTGGTTGCAGCTCCTTTGACATGACGAATGATATCTGATGACTGACCAGCCCATTGTGTCCCATTCCAACTCAAAATGCTCTTCGTTCCTCGAAGTCCAACATAGTTCAGTCAGTCTGCGCTCAATTACTTTTTTATTTCATCTTTCAAGAAGATGAAGTAGAAAAAAAACAAATATTTCAAATCAAATTAAGTTTCAAAATATTAAATCCAGCTGTGTTTTAGTGACAATCATTTCCAAAGCAGTACATGGATTTCAAATTATGTTGATTCAGATTTAGTTGTTTTTTTTGTTGTTTTTTTTCGATTCACGTTGAGTCGCTCAGATTGAATCTGAGCAATGCAAATGTTCTCTGTAAGAAGAGAACTTATATTGTTTTATAATCTGCTTTAAAATCCCCCCAAAACGTTCTCCCTGACCTGTTTGCTGTGCTCCTCGGTCTTCTCAATGCTGCTTGTTCACTAATGTTCCCTGAACAACCTGCAAAGCCTTCAGAGAACAGCTGCATTTAAGATGAGGTTAAAACCCTCACAGGTTGAATCTGCTTACTAATTAGTCTGATTCACGAAGACAGTCTGTTGCAGTGATTTTCACATGAGATTCCAATAAAATACTGTGTGTGGTTGTAATGTGTCAAAAGGAGAAAAGATTTGGGGACATGAACATGACCTTTGGAAGTTTGCCGTAACGGGAACTTTTATTCCACTGGGCTGTGGACAAGCAAAGCTTCACTCACGGCTGCTTTTATGCTCTCAGAGTTTGAGTTTTGCATCATGCAGTGTGAAGCGAACTGAATGTTTTTACTTTAAGAGGTCTCCCCGAAGTCACCTCTGAATGAGAACACTGCTTTGTGGGGCGGGGGGGGGAAGGCGTCTGACGACAGAGACGTGACTTTACGGTTCTTTGGTGTGAAGCCATGGAGTTGCTTTATGATGACGATGTTTTTTCCCCCAGCTGTGCCGGGGAGCAGAACAGAGCCGTTCCTGTCAGGCTGAGAGAAATTGCGGTGCGGAAAACCATCGTTAATACGCCAAACGGCGCTGTGGAAAGAGAGAGGTGGGTTCAGCACGTTTCTGTGATCATCAACTTTGCTTTTAAATGAAGGCCTGATGTTCAGCTACCGCAGAGAATAACTTATGGATCAGTGGTTCGCCAACATCATTGACAAATCCCAAATTAAAGTGAAACATGGTTCTGATCAGAGGAATGTTTGTGGCTCGGCGCCAGTGGCCGCAAAAGCATGAGGTAAACACAGAAACACTCCGACCCAGCTAACAGCAGCCCCTTTGTCTTCCAACTCTGTCAGGCTGGAGGAAAAGAGGCGGAGCGCGTTGGAAAAGCTGCTCCCTAGATCCCATCTCCTGCGTCCCAGAGATGCCGGACTGTCGTCGCTAGCTGACGACAGAGGCGCGCAGGATGTTTTGACGCCAGCCGCGCTCGTTCCGCAGCTGCAGAGCGACACGGCGGAGGAAACGGCGCACGGCCCTGCAGGGGAAAGCGTGACCTCGGACTCCGTCTGCGGCGCAGCGGGCAGCCTCGCCACCGGAGAGCGCTTGTTTGTGTTTCGGGATCCACCTGAATCCAGTAACTCTGTTGTCATCCCAGAAAGGAAAAAGAAGAGGAATTTTCTCAATTTCAAGAAAGGCTCAGTTGCTCCTGCAACCTGAGGCTAACACAGTGTCTTTTCCAATGTTTATGTTGTGTATTTTTGTACTTTTCATCATGTATGCAGCATCTGGCTTTGTTTCAATTAAAGGCAGCTGACTTTTTACGCCTTATGTCATTTATTTGCATTAGACACTGGAACGTTTCAGAAAATGTTCATTTAGTTCAGTAATTCAGCTCAAACAGTAACGCTTGTAGATATGGATTTGGTATAAACAGTCATGAAACTAAATACCCTTGCTGGAAATATTGCAATCTCCAGTGTTGGCTTTTGTTTCTTAAAACATATTCTCTACCTCTTATCTCCTTAGCTGAAACATGTCTCGTTTTCCGCATGGACTGTACTCCATAGTATGCATTAACAAACCAGAACAGTCGGCGACTAAAAAAATATTGGATCTGCTTATTGCAGAGTAAGATTAACTCATTTCTACAGCCTCTGTGATTTCCTTTCCAGCAGTCAATCTGTTTTCTCTTTCCCTGCTGAGCCTTCCAGTTCTTCCACGTCATCCTCATTTTTCTTTCTTTTTTTTTTTTTTTTTTAAACTCCCTCTCCATCCTTAAAAGTGGAGCGAGTCGTTCTCTCTGCAGATTACTTGTTGAACTTCCCGTACAGGCAGCCGGACTTCTCTGGAGCTGACAGACATGAGGCTGGGACTGACGGCTCTCCTCTGCTTCTTCAGCGTCGTGCTTCAGTGCGACTGCACTCCTCCGACCTGCTACTCCAGAGCGCTTAGCCTGAGCAAAGAGATCATGACCCTGCTGGACAAGATCCACAGTTTCTACCGAACCGTAAGAGCGCTTCACTGCAGCAGTGTTCATGTTAGACCTCAGGCTTTGACTTTGTCTAATTCTTAATTGCTGTGTTGATTGGTTTGTAGAAAGCGTGTGCTGAAGTTCTACCTGTCATCCACATTGATGTGCATGTAAGTTGGAAAAAACATCTATAGAGGTGTTGTTTTTTTGTCTTTGTACGTATCCTAGCATTAAGGGTTGTTTCAGATGAACATGATTGATTGTCAGATAAGAGCTACGTTCAATCAAACTGTTTGTTTGCATCAAGGTTAAAACACCAAACTAAATGAAGATGTTAGTAGTTCAAAAAAACATACCATTATCTCTCTAGAACGCATGCATCACCAACAAACTGCGTGACTTTCTCTACGTGGTGCTGAACCATCCCAGCCAGAGCTGCAGAGACAAGCCCAGAATGGTCGCGTTGAAGCGGAAAACCCAGAACCTGTACAGCATCATCACCAGAATCTGTTACCGGGTGAGAGAGCCTCTGCGCCGTGTTTTCCCTACTTTTTAGCCGGAGCAGCTCGACCAAACGTAAACTTGCGTTTTTTTTCTGCTGTTTCGTCGTAGGACCTGGTGTTTTTCACAGACGACTGTGAGGCCATCGACACCGGACGCAGCAGCCCAAACCTGGCTGAAGACAGACTGCAGCTGCTGCAAGAGGACAGATGAGACGGCTCGCACTCATTCACACAGACATATACCTTCGTAAAAAAAAAAAATAAAAAAATCTATTGTATCCAAATGTAGAGCAGTAAAAGCAAGCATATACCACCGAAGACGAGGCTGTTTTAACGTCCTGCATGTTCGCTGGCTGAGGGCCGGGCGACCGGCTGCATGTCGGGGGACACGTGTGGTCACATTCCAGCAGCAAGCGGAGAACTTTCCACAGGAAATTAGCTGAATACCAGCCATTCCGATGAAAACCTTCAAATAATAAACCAGTACAAGGTGCTTGTGTGTGCAGCGTTGACCTCTGCTTCTTTACCGGGGCTGATCAAAGGTTTGTGTGGAATAGGCTGTGTTACTGGGAGCTTCCCAGTAACGCAGCTGTGATGTTTACAGGGTGGCCTCCTGTAAACATTTGAGGGCTTCGACATGGACGCCGAACATGTTGGAGAACAAATGTAGTTTCCTTCCTCTTTCTTGTACCGTTTGTATCTCTCTGAATGTTCTTGAATAGATTTAGCATCTAAGGAGCTGTGATGTTTCTGCTACTTTGTTATTGTGAATAAGAAGTGCAACGACTTTTCACATAAATATGTATACACTCGCAATCAGTAGAGGTTGTTATTCTTTTTCAAGTAATAAAAAAAAAAAAGTTATTTTCCGACCAGTTTCCATGTCCGTGTTTTCTTTCCATCGTTCTGCACTCTAATGGAGGTGGGATCTCTAAAGTACACACCTCCATTAAAATGTGATGTTTTTGTTATGTGAAACAAAATCTCACATGTAAATCGCTTCAAAACAAACAAATTGATTCAGACTCGGTAAACTGTATGCCGGTGACTTGTGGGATGTAGCTCCTTCTTTTGCTGCCAAAATGTTTGACACTAAAGGAGAAAATGATAAAACAGCACAGAATCAAAATGACCAGCTCTCATCTGATACGCAAATAATTAAAAATAACTACATTTATAATTCAGTCTTTACTTTATTGCTCCCTCAGCTGAGTTAGTTACTTTTCATACCCCTTTGTATTTGTGCCAGTCACTATGACATCACCCACTAGCATCCGCTACAATTTATGCTATTTTTTAGCTCAGAGGTCAACCAATAAGTAGAGCGGACTGGGTAGGTGTAAATCAGGTTTTGGTGCACAAAAGATCAAACTCTCCTTTGAAAAATGTGAAGCCAATGAAAGAAACGGCAAAAGGCGTTTGGTTTGACAAAAATATTTTAAGGAGATTTTCTGTTGTTGACATTTGAGGAACATGTTGCTCTGGCAAGAACGTGAAAGCTGCGTTAAAATGCCGGTGACAAATCATTCAGATCGCATTTCTTCTTCCTGTCTTTGAATAAACAGTGGAAAAGCCGATGAATTAACACTAAATGATGTAAATGATAGGTTTTGTGGAAGAAGAAAAAGTCAAGTATGAGTCCAGTGCTGTGGTGGGGCTGGTTAAAACACAAGCGTGGTTGCATCCGCAATTTTATGAACAGGGGCCATTAAAATCTCATCAAAACCTTCTTAAGTGTAACAGCTCTTTTTTATATTTTATTTTGCTTCTAAGTCATCTGGTTGTAAAAAGTACCCAGTGACCCAAAATAGACAAACTTTAGTGCTTGGTATAGTTTGACATTTGTCCTGCATGGAAAAAATGAACAAATCTTTTAGAACAAAAAAATCTTCTAAGCTTTTTAACTATTTTGTTGAAATGCCTTTCGATTTGATTTAGGTGATCAACTCTTTTTTTTAGGAGTCTATCAACATCCCACTTATGGACATTATGAACTCTGCCTTCCCAAAGTTCTCCTAAACCATTAGACTGTGATTGTTGATTTCAGTCCTATCCTTTGCTGACCTCTGCTGGCGGAACTGCGTCATTGCATTTCGATTCACGGGGAAAAGTACGAGTCTGTTCTGGGCAAAACTAACACACATGGTATACGGCTTTTATCTGCTGGTTCCCTCTTGTCCTGATTTTGATCTATGCGAGTCAGAATCGATCCACCGCATATGCAAATGAAGCTGCTGCTTACGGCCTCCAGGCCACCAGGGGCATCCCATAAATTCATGAATCTTAGGCATAGATATCAGATTTTTAGATTTGTTTATTGACATAATGAAATGTAATCTTTACTTTGTGTTTGAGCTCAGTTTGCTCACAAATGCAGCAAGCATTATCCCTGATTGATTTTAAACATATCTTACTGAAGCCATGTTAGCTTTGGTGATGTCCTTAACAGGAAGAAGGCACCTTCCAGTCCTCTCATCAACAAGATCTCTGTGGATAAAAGAAGCAGCTGGGTGACCACTCTGCCTGTGAAGTGGAGTCAGGCCCTTCAGTGTGTTTTCTATCTCTTGAGTTTTTATGCTCTCTGGTCAGTTTTACTTCCTTGAGTTATCCCCTGCCCACATCTGAGTTATTCACTCTGTCTCCCAGGTCAAGCTAGTGCAGAAAATGCTTTCACATTAGACCTCTAGAGTCACATCCCCCTCATGATATTAACTTACTTGGAAAACTCACCTTTCCCAAGGATGTTGTCTGCAGTTCTGCTCCCCGCTGGTGTTGCCACATGCCCACTCAATCAGTTCTGCTTCTCTCTGAAAGAACCAAACCTTCCCTTGATGCCACATACATTCCCCCAGGTGCAGGGATCATTCTCTCCTTCTCCAGAACTAAACCCACCAGCAGTATCCCTGAACTGCTAACAGCAGTAGAAAGGATTCCCAATCCTCTGCTGCATGTTCTGGTCGAAGGCTGTCAAAGGTTCCCATAATATATTTTTGGACAGAGAGAGATCCATTTAGAACAGAGGGACCCAGGTTTGTGGAATGTGTTCCCTCCATTTTTGGTGCTGTTTTGAATCTGTTAAGTGTTTTAATGAACCAGCTGGAGCGCCATGTTGTGCAGTAGTAGAGTGGTGAGGTAGACGCAGTGGAAATAATAGTTTAATGAAGAACTAAGCACTAAATCCAGGCAGGACAGGTGAGCAGAAGGCTAAGAGCTCAGACACTGGTAGCGACTGGTAACTCAGCTAGAAACGGTGACACCAGACGAGGACCTGACCACAAACAAGAGATACAGGTGGATTTAAATACACAGAGGGTAGTCAAGGGAAACTCAACCAACACAGAAACCTAAATAAACACACAGAAAACTCAAATCCTTACATGGAGACTGAATTAGACTAGCTTTTAACTAGATTTTCAATGTGTTTTGTCTCTACTTTTAATAGCCCAGAAACTGCTGGTGCAGTCAGTTTCACTGATGCTTAAGCTGCTTTAAAAATGTATGACCTCAACATATTGGAATAACAGCAATAAATACAAGAGCTAAAACAGTGGCTGCTATCTTCATTCTCCCTAGATTACTCTACCACCCATCACTTTAACCTGATACTAATATTGCTGCAATGGCTAATAACCAAACAATATCGATATTATATGTCTACCTACCGTTTGGACACCAGGAAAAAAACAACCACATAGGTGACATTTCTTCTCTGTTTCAGTTAAACACCACACCTCTTCCCAAATCAGAAGATTTGGGAAAAGGTGTTATCGTCATCAAATGTTAAAATGTCATTTTAACATTCGATAACAATATGTTAGAAAATTACTTACATCAACCGATACAAATATCAATGACGATTCATTGCGTGTCCTGATGACCTTTCACAGTTTAAACGCACATTCAGATCTACTTTTTACCAAATTAGCCATTACTTATTGATTTAAAGGTACCTAAAGTTGTGAAATCCTGAGAAGAAGAACGTGTTGGACGACCCGATTACTAAAAACAAGGCTACTTTCAGCTGAGTCAGGTCTTCAATAATAGAAACTATTCAAGCGTCACATTGTTTGTTCTATAATAAAGACTGAATCATCAGTTCACTGATTCCACTTAAAAATATATACTAACATTTCAAAATTCTCTGATTCAATATTTGCATCATTGCTTCTGCTGCTTTGTCTGATTGGCTTCATTCCTCAATAAGTCACGTAAAAATCTACATTCTGACCTGAGTTTCCATGGTCATGTTTCACCTCTGCAGTCTATCCCTTTAGCCAGCTTGAGCTTATGGTTGCTGTAGGAATCACGCAGTTGATCCATTTTTTAAGAGTTAGAATCGTGAGGGCTTTCAGGAACAAGTAGAGTTGCAGTCATGGTCTTCTTTTGGCAGCAGGGTTAAGGTACTTGGATCGATCAGCAGATGGTGCTAGCCAACCAGGTACCACACTGGAAGAAGAATTGGATCACATTTTTAATGCTTCAGTAGCTTAAGACAAGACTTTATTGATTATTCAGCCTCTCTGACTATGAAAAGTGCCTTGACAAAGTATTCATATCCTTTTAAGTTTTCCACATTTCATCAATCAACCATAACCTTAAAGGTATCTTGCTTAAATGTTGTTTAGTAGACCAAGACAAAGTTCTGCATAGTTGTGAAGCAGACTGAGAAAGGTATATACCCTGTTGACCCTGGTGCCCCTAAATAAAATTCAATGAAACCAATTGCCTTCAAATGTAATGAGTAAAAAGAAAAAGGTCCACCCATCTATAATTCCTTCTCAGCATAAACACTCGGTGAAAAACGGTAGTGGCAGTAACAGGCTGTGGGGTTTATTATGGGCTGGTCAGGTCACCACATGAAGGTGATACATCCACGTAAGATCTGAAAAATTCTGAACACGTTTTAAGAGCACTATATATTTGAGTAAAATCATTGTCAAATTTTAGCTCTCCGATATTTAGTCTTCCATAAGTTGTTCGATACTATTGTCCATATCCAGCTTGCAGTTTGCCGTATTGAAAACTGTCTGATGGGAACAGAAACTGAGTCACATCTGCTCCATGAAGAGTCCCTAGAATCCATCAAACCAATTTTTACTTTGCCCCAAGTAGACCCTGCTTCTGAACCATCATGTCCGAACTCCTCGCAGCTATAATAAACTGACCCTGAAAGGACCAAACTGTTAGTCAGCACCATGTGGCTTATTGAGAAAACCTGCCCACAGTGCGCTCATAAAGCCTAATTGCTGTTCTTATTAATCATAATTATAGGGCAGCACAATGCACCTACTCTTAAAAGCAAAACTAGAACAGAACATTAAAACCGCAGGCGGCCGTGGCAATGTAATGTTCAGGTACTGCACCCAAAAAAAAAACCCCAAATGCTGTGCAATCAGTAATCATTCTCTGCTTTGTTAAAATAAAATTCCCTTATAAAGAACACATCACAAACTTATTCACATTAAAGTAGCGGCCATGCAGTTTGAGATTCCGATTCTTTTATAGGGCTTTCAGGCAATTTTCCATCACATTTAGCGCTTTTATTGCATTTTTTTTAGAGAAGTGTTGCCTCATTAGTGCGCATAAGGAAATGTTTCCCCCAATAGATGACCGGCACATTCTCTACTCTGTTTATAATAATTGTGCTCGTCAGTAAACCAGGCGATTGAGAGGCTGTGTTGTGGTAAACAATGATGTCCCCCTGCATACACTAAATACACCTTATCAGGCTGCTGTTTTATATACTGATAAAGGCTAAGAGTAGGTTTTCAGAAAATCCAAGGCACTAGTGACAAGACTAAGTGTTCACCTTATTTCGCTGTAGAGCTTTGCTAAAGTCTCCCCCTCTAACGTTTCCACTCATTGTGACACTAAAAC